GCTGTCTTACCAACCTTTGAATATAATATGTAGAGGTTCTTGGTGTTGCAGCACAATAAAAGAGGGGTTAAATATTGGTGAGGAAAGTAAATTACAGAGCAGAAGAATGCTTCATGTGGTTGCCACACCTATTTTCAGAGATAACCCATGAACATACCTAATATTGGAAGGTAATGAAGAATGAAAGAAAGATTTGTGGTATAACTGAAGTTTCAGACAGTTGAGGGATATAATAAGTAAGTTCTCCGTTTCGTTACTCTTAGTTGATCCTAAATAGATTTGGAACTTTGAGAAGTTTCCATTTTGTGGCACAAGTACTCACTGGAGTTTAATGCTGCTGCTATCAGTCTATCCCTAGTAAAAGCCTTATTTCTAATCCTTCATTCCCACTATATACATGACGCTGGCCAAATAACACACTGCGGCTCTGTTAAGTGCTGCTTCTGCCCTACTAGCTTGAAGTGTATGTCTACATTTGAAGCCACTAGCACGGACTTCTGACTGGGAAAAAGATATACATAGGCTTATATATGCTATATATTTCCACCTATCTTTTTAAAATTAAGAAGTTGGGTTTTAGTTGTTGTCTTTTTTTTTCTTTTCTTTTTTCCCCCCACTGTTGAAATCACTACTTAAGACAAATAAGGTTATATGTCCTGAATTGCATTCAGAGAATCAGCTTTTTAATGTCACCCTCCACGGTTCTTCTTCCCTGCTCTTCATTGCTGTCCTGACAGTCAGCAGAACAAGGCTAGTAGTTTTGTCACAGTGAGTAGAACTGAGTGTTAGCCCAGGACAGCTGCTGTAGAGCTCCTCCTGTCTCCATTACTCCATTAGCTGGGATGTACCACACTGTTTATAAATATTCACCAGCTAGTTTATAGATATTTCATACAGTGCTTAAGTTGCTCCAGCTTTAAATGGCTCATGGAGGTATAGCCATACGTGTTTTCTCAGGACTCAGCCAGAAACTTTGGAGTCATAGTTATCAGATATATTAGCAAACAAGCACAGTAAACAGGAGCAACGTGAAGGGCAGTATTGCTACCCAGGGCCAAACGTCTGTATTGTGTTCTCATGGTGTGTATTCGGACTAGACCAGTAGTGTTCCTCATGGATCTTACATTTTAGTCTTATCTAAAATAAATCCAGTTTGCTCGACTATGTAAACCAAAGCACAGTAAGAGTGAATGACTGGGAGATTTGCTTCAAGAGTAACCTCCTGGTCCAACATAAAATGCTGAGGCAGAAACTCACTCAGTTCATGGAAAACTGCAACACTGGAAGGCACTGAAATTGCCTGCAGTCCAGCAGGCAGCATCATGTTGGTTTGTAGCTTGGAAAATAATGTAAGCCTTGAACACTGGAAACATATTTTTAAACAGAAATTGGAAGTAGCAAAGATTTTGATTTCTAGTCTTGGAATTCACATGTGGAAAATCTCATTATCGGCAAGGTCCTCAACCTATGTTTTTTAAATACAGATGCAAGAAGTGTTATTTAATTACTTCTGTGCTAGTTCTGAAACTGAGGAAGAAACCTCACATAAATTGTGTCCTCTACCAGCTAAACAGAGAGAAGAGCAGCTTGCAGAGAGATGAAGTGGGCAGCCCGAGCTTCTGACTGGTCTGTTGCTCAGAGGTCGAAACCCTGCTGGTGTTTGTTTTCTTCAGGTTTGGAGAAGAGTGAATATCACTAGCTGGGCTTGCTGGCTTCTTTCTCACTACTGGAACTGTTCAGAGTCCCTCCCATAGGTTCTAGTTTTGGAGGCTTCACAGTCGCTTGAACCATTCCTTAGAACAGGTCAGATGGTGACAAGTGTGACTGTAAGTTTGTGAGCTCTGTTACCTTCGACACCTGCCAGCAAGTGGTTAGTAGTTGGACCCTTAATTCACCATCCTCTTTTTCTCTTTGCTTTCTCTAGAAGCTGGAGCTGTGCAGAACGTCCTATATTTTTAGTACTGTGGGGTAAAAAGTAGTTGAACCCTTCAGTTCTTATTTTTAACTTCCTTCCTCTTTCCCCAGTTGGAGATATATTAGATTTGCATGTGAGAAAATATGAGGTGTCCAGGGATCCCGGATATAACAAGAGGAAGAGATGATTTAAAAAAGTTTGAGAACTCATGATTGGTTTATATATACACCTATGATAGTTCAGTATCCTAAAATACCCATTGTCTCGAGGCTCAGAATTTGTTGTGAACATACTCTCTTTATGCAGTGTGTGGTAAAATAATCACAAGTCATCTAAAGTGTTCTTTGTATTAACTAAAATTAGAAAGCACTTGTGATGCTGTGTTTGATTAAAGGAGGTTTGTATTCGTAGCTGGTAAGATGTAACCCATTGAAACTTTGCTGCGAGCTCAGCTGAAGTTGGACTCAATATGGTTTATCAGACCTACCTAAGAGATAACTATCTAAATTACCTGAATTTATTAGTAGACTTGATAGTAGTGATACTTGTGGTTGATTGTGTTTTCAGATGCATCCTTAGTGCTTCAGCCATTTTACAAGCATAGGAAATGTGGGACACTCTTGTTTTGAACCTTTAATACCTAATATTAGAGCAGATATGAGTATTATAAATTATTTCCATAAAAAATCTTGGCACAGTTCTTTGTGATATGCCAGTGTAGTAGCCATACAGGTTAACTGAGGTAGATGTAGTTGACTTTATAAAGTGCTCTGGGTTGTTACAGGTTCTGTTTATATTCCTTTTTTACAGCTGGATGCCATAATTCTCTTGGCTTCTTACAACCCTTTGTCCGTTTTGCAGAATTTTTCAGATGAAAATGTGATTTTTACTTTTAATTAGGCTTTCAGTTGTTTCCTCTGTCCTGCTTTGCAAACAGAGTTGAATCAAATTTCTGTATCTCCAAGGGAAATAAAAAGCACTCCTCATTGTTTTTATATTCCCTCCTGATTTGTTTAAAAAAGAAACACCAAATGACCTTGTTTCATTGTGTAGTCGACTTAAGGCAAACACACATAATTTTTGTAATATTACTCTGTTTTGTCTAAGCTGTGTTATATTCTCCAGTTAATGGCATCCTTGACAAAAGCTGCACATCATTTCAAATTGCGTTTTTCAGTTGATTTTTAACCTACTGTGGAATTCTCTCTGAAGCATGTATAAAACCCAACTCAGTTCTGTGATGCATGTGGAGAGAATTTCCATAGAGAAACGCCATACCCTAGTTTGCAACAAAAAACAAGTGTTTATTTCACGTTCCTCCTTTAGGAGCTTTGCATCAGTCTCAGTGGTAGAGATGAAGAATCTGGAGCACAGCATTATATTGTCTCAATTGAGATGGTCGATTTGGAGCAGAACCATGAACACAGCTTAAAAAACTTATTTGAACTTTACATCTTTGGCAGAATGGGATACTTTACTGTATCACATCGTGTGATCTCTGAGGCAACAATTCTTACAGAATTTAAAACACACGTAAAATATTCTGCTCATTTAGTTGCAGAATAAACTTTCTAAATGCAGACTGAAAAGAATGAAGTGTAAATTGGCAAAGCGCTGCACATTTCTTTATGCCTTTTCCAATTTCTTTTGGTTACTCATGTAGAAGAATTATAAAATCTAAAATGGGTCATTTATCCGTCTTCATGTAATCATTTGTGGTCATTGCATAGCTGCAAGGTTGTAAAAAGTATAAGCAACAGCAGGTATGAGCACTGGAATTTCAGGGCAAAAGTTTCAAAGTAGGCCTCAGTGCAAGCACATAAAATAGTGATCATGCAAACCAGCCAAGAGAACACAGAGGGAAGAATTCTTGAGAATGAAGAAAGAATAAAAGAAAAATAAATTAGTATATGTTAGGAAGTGGAGAAGTTAGATCTTGAGAAATCTGTACAAGTATTAGGCTGGTGTTTAGGAATGAGTTTTCTTGCCCAGGTGATGTTATTTTTCATAACTAATAATAGTTCTGTCAGTTTTACTTCTCTCCCTACTTACCTTATAAGAAGGTCAGATATGTATTTAGTTGTTTTTTCTTATAAAAAAGTCATTTTAAGTAGTTGTCTTGAGATTTGTCTTCAAATTTTCTACAGAGAGAAAAGAAATGCTGAAGCCAGCAGAACCACCATATCTATAAAAGGAGTTCAATTTGTAGTCTGCAGTCCCCCAGAGGACATGTATAAGAAAAAGATCTTAAAGAAAAGAAAATGTGTTATGATTTTTCAACGGATATTGATGTCACATTTTATTTAACCTGTTCAATTCAATTTAGACATCACGATCTTCAAAGAAGGTTCATAATTTCGGAAAGAGATCTAACTCAATAAAGAGAAATCCTAATGCCCCGGTTGTCAGACGCGGCTGGCTCTACAAACAGGTACTCTTCCCCTCTTCACCCAATTCCATTTTTTTGTGTGTTTTTTTGGTAAGGTGTATAATGTACTAAAGACCATAATTTGCATAAAATACAGTGGCAGCAGTACCGGAGTGAAGATACAGTTTTCCTCATTGTCAAAATGTGTACCGCTGGACAGGGTTTGTGTGAAAAATGATTCAAATACTGTGATGTTTGGTTGTCTTTTTGTAATAAGTGTTTCTGTATGTTTCCCTGTTGAGTGAAAGCCAATTTAGTCAAGAGTTTTACCAACAGATACTATCTTCAGAAAATACACAGTGAAAGCTTTCACAGATTTCTTGCTGATAGTAAGGCAACTTTCTTAACATGTAATAGTCACAGAGAACAGAAGGGCATGTTTGACTCAGGGTGTGCTGTCTCATTGCATGTAATGCTATTCTTTCATTTTCTAATAATTGTTAGGTTCAGAGTCAACTCTTTTTTTTTGGCAGGCATTTACTATGAACATACTGTTACCGTATTGTGACATAATCACAATCAAGAGGAGCCAATAATTAGTAAATCCACTGATAGATAAAGGATGTACTTTAAAGTAGGAAAGAATTTAAGATATGAGAAACAGTCAATCAGTTCGTGTGCCTTTCTGCTATGTCTGAAGAAGGCCAGAGGATGATTCCTAATGTGTTTCATTGCTAGCAGAATTTTACATATGGCCATGTAGAAACCTGTTAGTGTTTTTGAGTGATGGGATAAATGTGACGTTGCCTCTTTAGAAAGTTTGTCTGAGGGTTTGTGATAATCCTTTACACTGAAGAAGTCTGGATATTTTCACACTGTGCAGTTGATTTCTATGGCTGATGTCCTTTGGGCCTGAGGTCCAGCTTCGTAATCCTCTGCTGTTAAACCACTTTGAGATCCTCAGAAGGAAGGTTCTGTGAAGTGTTTCATTGCTCTATTTATGAAAATGTTTTCGGCAAAAGACTTTTCCTTCTCCTTCCTTCAACCCATTTCCCCCACCCTAAAAAGCTTGAAATATGAGGCTAAAAATAATGCTGACTTTTCTAAAAACAAACCCAAGCAACCCAAACAGAAACCCACACCACCCCAAGGTTTTTCATTATGCTGTCTCTCTTGTTGTCACAAAGCCTATTTGCTTCCGGAATATTGATGGTTCACACATACTTTTCTCCTTGGAACAGATTAACATATTTATTAAATCTGATTCTACTAAGATGTGCGTGCTGCAATGCTCTAGCTTATTTACACTGCAATAGTGGTGACAGTCTTTCATTCTGAGTTGCGAAGTGTAAATTGATTATAAGCATAAAAAAAATGAAATTGCTTTAGGAATAAACTTTATTTGGTGGAGAAATTTGCTCTAGATGTGAGTGGTAGTAGAAGATGAAGTTCAGCAGAAAGTTTCTTCAGAAAACAAAGGAGTATGTACCCCAAGTATTGCCTTGCTCTTTTCCTTTTTAAAAAAAGTTTACATTTTTCAGTTAACTGTAGATTGTAGTTTCTAGCATGCTAAAATAATGGGCTCTTATCTGTTCTTGAATCATGTGAACTTAAGGGTGCCTGGGTTATTAACTGTTTTCAGTGTCAAGTCTATGATTAGAAGTCAGAGATACTTTAAATACCTTAGCCAAGTAAATTAACTACTAGCACACTACCGCAGTTATGTAGTACGTGTTTTACTTTATGAACTATTGCTATTAGCAGTCTGAAAGTTCTTGTCTGATCACTTTGATTAATACAGGATAGTACCGGAATGAAGTTGTGGAAGAAACGGTGGTTTGTGCTCTCAGATCTGTGTCTCTTCTATTACAGAGGTAAGTTCCAGGAGAGCTTCGTTTGCAAATTTTACTTGAAGCAGATAAATTTTGACACACCACTTAAAAGTAAGAAGTAAGAAAGTCCTACTTAATGGATTAAAATAGTTGTATGACTGTCAATATCCAGGCTCTCTTTTTTTTTTTCCCTTTCTTAATTACCAATTTCACGTAATTGCTTCTTGCCTGTCAGGGATGCTCAAAGGGCAAACCTGTTCACAGCCACTTCTATTAAATTCTGGATTGTAGTTTTCTCACTGCGTCTGTTGCTAGGACCTAAATATGCCAGGTTAAATCTGATTTTTCATGCAAATTAGGTAACTGAAATGGGAGTTGGAAAGGGATAGTGCAAGGGAGCTAAAGCTCTGCCTTTGGAATGATAAAGAAGGATATATGTGCCTTTTGGGAATCTAATCAGTGTTCATGAATACTTATAAAGTGGAATGATGTTCAGTTCCATGCGAGTAGAAGTGTCTGCTGTGTTTGGAATGAGGAAATCAGTCAGTACCCTTATGTGGCTACATCTGACTTACTATACATGAGAAAAGTTAACTGCTTGTAATTCTAGTCTGGAAATCCGTGTGTTAGAAAACTGATTCCTTCACCGTTGCAGGTTATTACCTGTAGTGCTCCTGAGGGGATAAACAAATGGAATTTGTGCCTGTGGAAATGTGTCCAATCCTGAAATAAGGTGTATAACCATAATAGTGTAAAGGAGGCTAAGAGCAAAGAAGATTGTGAAGCATGGCAAAATAGAGGAAAACGGTTAAGACCATCTGCAGACTTAACTGCAGATGGAGGGTGAGACAGGATTTCAGTTTAGAATGAGACTTCAGATTTAATAGAAGTCATGGAGACATCAATTGTGATACAGTTACAATGCACTTAGTTAGGGAGTCATTATACACTCTCTGCTTTCTTATAGGGTTTTCTTATTTTAAAAAAGTATTCAGGCTCTCTCTTCTGGAGATTCTAAAGAAAATGCTGCTTTGTACTTGCCTTAAGATTAAATTCACTTAAAGCACAACACATGAAGTATCTCAAAATAAAGCAAATAAGCAAATCCAGCAACAAATAAAATAAAACCAAACAGCTCTGTAATCTTACCTTTTCTTTTCATGTTAGTGTGCCAAATAAGCTGAAATACCAGCAGTATATAAACTGTATTTAAGCATGTGTAGTGATAGTCTTAAATGTATTAGAAATGGCTACTAAAATATACAAAAACCTTTGCACTGTAAATGTTGTGCTTTTATGTTTTTGTTAATTCTGTCTCAGATATTGGAAAGATGGAAAGGGAAGAGCCATGCGCTTACTCAGATCACAAACTGTTTCTGGTTTCATGATTGTGGTTGTTGGCATTTTTTTTGGTTTTGTTAGTAAATCTTACTTACCTTTTACAAATGTATTGCGATGTTAGCAGCTTAAATCTAATTTACAAATTAAAATAAAAATTATTTCATTGTATCTTTTCAAAGCTTAGAAATTACTCCTTTTCTTTTTCAATGGAGGGGTAAAAGAGTGCCTGCATTCATACTGGAAGGTTATTGTTGCTGCAGATAAAAGATCTTATAGCTAGACCGAAAATCTGCTACTTTTCTGTTGTATTATTTGTACACAGCATACAGGGAAAGGTGGATATGGGGCAGCGTAATGCGTAGATAAAAGCTAGTCTGATTGGAAACAGATTTTTAAAGTCTGGAAAAGGAATGTAGCAGTATGTCTTTAACAAAGACCAAAGTCCTCCAGACATGCAGCTGTTCAGTGAAACAAAAATGCTTAATGCTTTTTATATGGCACTAGTGGGTGTGACTTACTCAGTAGTAAGTTTAAGTATAATCTAGCAGAAGAAGAGAATTATTCCTCCAAAACAGTCCAAATAAAGTAAACCCCAGCATTTGCCATGCATTCTGGGACAGGGGAAAAAAGGCAGAGGTTTTTTTTGTGTGTAGCAAGGAAGGAGTAAATACTTGAGAGGGGAAGGTGGGATGGTTTCAGATGTACTTACAATTACAGTTTAGTATCTGAAAGTAAATCCACTCCTTCCAGTTCTTTCTGCCTAAATCCACTCCTTCCATTTCTTTACTGCCTTTTAATCAGAATAATTTTATGCTCAGTTCTCCAATTAAATTACTATCCAAGAAAGTATAACTTCTACATCTAACATGTCATATAATGGTAAAGTGGCTGGGAAGAGCTTTCCCCATATAAGTAATTTAGAAGTTGCAGCTTTCCAGAATTTAGTGAGCAAGTGATAATCAGGAAAAGATTTTTAAATTCACTTTTAAGAGGTAGTCCTTTTGTGCTGTTTACATGTCTTTTAATTGTTACAGTATTAATCTTCCATGCTTGAAGCTTTGGAAAATCTTTTTTTTCATCTTAATTTTATAGATATATAGTTATTTGTTGTTGGCAGTATTTTCAACTAAGAGAAGTGTAACAGTGTCCTAAGATACTGGATGTAAATAGAAGTTCTGTATGTGAAATACAGAATTGTGAATTGCATCCAATTATTCCTTTATTAAAGTATAATTAGATTTAAGAGCTGGTTGTGGCTTCCAATTAAAATGACAATGTGTTATTATAATGTATTGTTCTAAAATTTTATGTAAGACAAGATCCTGGTAAAAGAGTGTATGTTTTGGGGGAGAGTTTGTTTTTTACAAATTATCTGAAACGTATGCCTTCTTACAAATACAATGTAATTGAGCATAAGCTCTTCAAGGGAATTATAAAAACTTGTAGCTTATTATGCCCCATATCAGAAGAAGAATATACAAATTTTCTCAAAGGCCAACAATTATAAGCAGTATTTTAAAATGCTTCTACTCTCCTAGGTGTTTGCAATTTTTACCAAGCAGGCAATAGGTAGTACGTATTGTTCTTTCACTGACTCAGAGGCTTAACTTCCATCTGTTTTTCATTTTTGAAGTCATATGCAGGGAACCATTGAAGCCCAGAAAAACTCAAGGTGCAGCTATCTGCGGTGTTTTCCGTAAGGTAGCTCACATGCTTAAAACTTTTACAGAACAAGCACACTCATGCAAGTTTTTTTATGCCTGTTCATCTTGGAAAAAGTCAAAGGTGACCGTTTTCAGATGGTCTGGATTTCATGGTGCTTAGCAGGTTTTTGGGGGCTCACACGTGCGTGATACACCTACATTGGCAAAAGAGGGCTGCACAATTCTCTTGTGGACTTCATACTTCTGAGACTGTATGCAGACACTTATGTTAACAAATCATCTGGCTTTCTAATTCTCCTGAGGCATTTTCTCCTGAGGTGAACTCCTTGTTTAGTAATCTTGTTAAATAATGGAGATTCACTTATATATTTGAATATAAGGATTATGTGTCAAAACACTTTGTCTAATTGAAGACTCTGTATTCACAGATGAGAAGGAAGAAGGAATACTAGGTAGCATACTTCTACCTAGTTTTCAGATATCTGTGCTTTCTGCTGAAGACCATATTAACCGGAAATATGCCTTTAAGGTAAGGGAATCTGTTTTTCCATTTAATTTTATGTCTCAAAGCACAATAGCCTAGTGAACAGAACTCATTTTACTGAGTTATTATGCAAAACGGGATTGACAAACAGCTTCCGAGACTGATTTTTTCATGATACAGTAGCAGAGGATACAAGTATTTAGCCATATTTAGACATAATTACTAGAAGGAGAAAATTGATTAATATCAACTATTGTTAGTCTTTTGTTTTTAGTCCATGGATCTTAAATATTGTGCGGTGTTTTAGAATTGTAGATGTCGTCTGCAGCTTGACTTATCTTACTAATGAAACTTCTTTAGTTATTTAGATACAAAGTATCTTTACATGTAACTAAAAATAAGATTTTATTATCCCTTAAATGACAAAATTACATGAATTGTTGTAAGGAGTCTTTCACAGCTAATCTTTTCAATCATGATACAAATCACTACTAACTATTTTCTCTTGACTTTTTTTTTGTTTGTTTTGTGAGCTCCTTTTGGCTTTTCTTTTGGCCTCCTATGCAAGACATCATTTATTTACTATGGTAAGTACAAATCAAAACTTGCTGTGTCATTCAGACTGCAAAGATCTGTGCCAAAGTCTTGTTTATAATAATTATGTTAACTTACATTAATGGATAATCAAAATAATATTTAATGGCTTAAAGAAATACGAAGGCTTTTTATTGAGTGTATTAATAAAGAAGCAGCTATGATTGAAAATTACAGGCAGTTGTTTTCAAAATATGGATATTTGCAGAAATCTTATTATAGAAAATATTAGAGTGAGCATACAGTAACATTATTTGTCTCTTTTCTTTTACAGAATCTTATCTTTTTATTGCAATGACCACGTCATTTCCAATCAGGCAGCTCATCCAAACATGAGGACCTATTATTTCTGCACAGATACAGGGAAGGAAATGGAGTTGTGGATGAGAGCCATGACAGATGCAGCACTTGTTCAGACAGAGCCTGTGAAAAGGTAGTGTGACTTGATAAAACAATGGCACAGTGTATTTCTTTCTCGTACTTAGTTTGATTTATTTGATGAAAGGGTATAGCTTACAGTAGAACATAAATTGGCTGAAGTAATTTCTCCTTATGTTGAAGACCCCTTACTATTTTAACAGTGTTGGATAAAATTTTGAAGTAGTAAAAATAGTCTAAGTTCTGTTTTTATTATGGATGCCTTGAGTGTAAGGGGCTAGAAGGAAAAAAAACCTGTCTGATTCCTTTAGTCAGTGGCATCAAAAGAAGTGCAATGACAAATACTGTGTGCAGGTACATTTGACTTCCCCAGCCCTCCTGACTAAATAGCAATAACAGCTCAACTGGTAGTAGTCAGTGGCTTACTCTTGTCATAAGCCTCAAATTTACAGTTGTAGTTTCTGGCTATGTTAAAACAGTTGTACCTGTGGGACGCCTGTGGAGAGCCATTCTTGTTTATCGTTAAGCTGGCATAAAATTTTCCTTATCTGGAGCCTTATCCTTTCTGTATCCATGTGTTGACAAGGAAAAGCAAGTTATCACTGGAAGCCTTGTGTTCTCAGAAACTGAATATTGTCTGCTGGTGACTATTCAGTAAGAATTGTTTTCTCTCTGAACATGGGCACTTGGGTCAGCTCCATGGCATCTATAGTGGAAATCTCATGAACTGAAAATTTAAATTCCTTGTTATTTGATGGTGGAGAGCGTTTTGCTAGTGGCTGCTGTCCCTTGAGCTGTTGTGCATTCTCTTAGTTCCTGCTACACTGGAGCTAAATGAAGAGCAGCAATGCTGAGAAATTTTAAGTTAAAAAAACATAGCATAGACACAGGTGCTCTAGAAGGTACAATTTTTGCAGAAGAGGAAGCACATTGTCAAAATACAAGCCGTCTTCACGGATTCTGCATTGCTAGTGCAAGTCATTCCTATGAACTTGTTCTGCTATTTCTATATCCCATGTTCCAGTGTGGTGCTGACAGAAGCATAAAATGATTAGACACTTCTAATGTTACATGTTTTAATGTTTTGTGAGTTTCTCAGTCAAACATAATGAAACTTTTACTTTGACCAATCTGTAGGACATTCAGAAGGATAACAGTCAACTAGGAATACTTTTAAATTTGTACCTGTTCAACTTTTTAGTGACTAATCTTAAACAAAAGGTTGAAATCTTCACTATTGTCTCTAAGATCCTTTAAATATGTAGATAGTATATGAAGTATTTAGTTCTCTGTATTGGACAGAATGGTAAAACAGCTTAACAGAAAAAAAAAACGTTTTTCTCTGTACTCTGAAAAACACTACATGCTTCAAGCTCTCAGGTGTCACACGTGTTTTTCCCAATATTATTAAAAAGAACCCCACTGTATCAGTTTGTAGAAAGGAGGAGTGGTAGGTCTAACTACCAAAATGAAATCTGATTTGTCGTATGTGATCTTGGATTAGATATGAAGATTTTACGTGCTTTGTCTCCTGTAACCCACTTCATATTTGGGAATGGGAGATGTGATGAGGAAGGGGTGAGCAAAGTGGGATGGAACATAAGCAAGTAGATGCTTAACAGTATTTTCACCTTTTAGCTTCTCTGCATAGAGCTTTTAAGAGATTGCTCTTAAGAGAATGAAGTTACTTTGACAAAAAAAGTAGATCGTTTAGCTTAGTGAATAAAAAAGTTAATCTGAAAAATTAGTTTTGGTTCACGTTGGAAGTATATTGCAGAAATAATTAAACCAAATCAGACCCACTTAACTTCAAAGAAAAATCATATATTGATTGTATAAGCATTTTGTAGAGGGAATAATACGGAAGTGTGTCATTCTAAATCTTTTTTGAAGCGGTGAAGTGACCTTTGTTTGGTATTTGCAATATCATGAAGTTTGAATGTTTGAAGAGGACATCTTCATAGTAGAAAAAAAATTAACGTGAAGAAAGCCTGTCTCCATCTGACAGAGCCTGCTTAATAAGCATCAGGTTCATAGTCTCTCCTGTAATAGCCAATGCTCCATAGAAGGTACTGAGTAAACTTAATTATATAGACAGATGTTACATTATTACTCATGATGTTTCTTTTAGCATGAAAAGCAATCTAAAGTGTTAGTGTAAATATCCACTCTTTTCTGCAGTTCATGAGCACAGCTGTACGGGCACATTTGCTGCCCTGGAGCCTATGCAGACAGGCGCCAGGCTCACTGCAGCGCGGCTTTGCCGCCTCGTTCTCCCTTCTAGGCCGTTGTGCCGTAGCTGCTCAGACAAGACATGCGGTCCGCTGCCACCAAGGGCGTTCCAGCCTCCTGAAATGCCCGGCCATGCATTCCTACCCCACTTCTTTCAGCCACAGCGCCTGTTCCAGTGCTGATGTCTGCCTGTTTCAGGCATTTGGTAACGTATAGGCAAACAGTGGGGATTCCCAGTACAGCTGAGCTTATCTAAGCCTTTTCATCCAGCTATACACACACCTGCAGTCTGCCTTGAGTTGCTTCGGGTGCTTATCTTACTCCTTGGTGAATCAGCAAGGAGTTTAGCCTACTAAACTACTAGAAAAGCACTCAGGAGCAAAACTGGTAGTTTTCTGCCTGCATATTGTGGGCAGAACGGGCTTGCCAAACAACCAAAACAAGTGTCAGAAAAGCAACAAAAAAACCCACTTACGTAACGCCATCTTGTTGGTTTAATTCAGGCAAGAAAGCACAGAATGAAACAGAAGTAGGTGTGGACTCTTTGAGAAGTTTGTTAGTAGTCTTGTAATAATTATTTGAGAGAGAATAATGGAATCATAGAATCATAAAGGTTGGAAAGGACCTTTAGGTCATCAAGTCCAACCTACAGCCCTACACCACCCTAACACTAAACCATCTCCTGAAGTGCCAAGACTAGTGAAGACTTTCATGTCTGTTAGCTATAATAAGGAAGAAAATCCTTCAGACATCTGTTTTCTAAAGAATCCATCTTTTGGCTCTGAAACCAATTCTTAAAATGAACCATGTAGCAGGATATGATCTTATCCAGAAGAAATAGAGTTTCTTCCCTGGAAAAATCTGTTAAGTATTAAGTATTATATTACCTCATCTCTAAGTAACCTACAGTTTGGCACGCACATAGCTTGAAGCGTAAATGGGTTTGGTGCAGTCATATTAAGCCAGTGCCTTTGTTTCTCCATTATTTTTGTTCTAGAGATTCTAACACTGTTGTGAATACAGTTTTCTAACAGACTATGTATTTAGAATAGGTAGAGTTACGAGAACATCCTTAAATATTTACACAAGATGATGTTGAGCCACTCTTAAGGGCTTTTTAATATAAATAGCCCAATGGTAAGTCAGAGTTTTCAAAGTGTAGTTCTGTAAATCTAGAAGTCAGTGTACTTCACTGCTTATGATATTCTGGAAATCCAAACCCAACAGTCTTTAAAATCTAATGTTTTGGCTTTAAATAATTTCAGAGCTACAGTCTATATCTTTTTTTTTTCTGAGGATGTGAGTTCCTTGGAGATAAAAAAATAAAATAAAAGAAATCTTTAAAACATTAAGTTGTAGAGGGTTTACCCAATTTTACATAAAAAATTCTTATTTCCACATATAATATTCTTATTTCCACGTATAGTTAGCCACATAATGCAGAAATGAGATACTGAGATGAGAAAGTAAAAATTTAACCATCTCTGCTGCAGTCACAGCAGAAAAACTGCCTTGTGATGTATAGCTGCAGGGAAGGACAAATATTATTTGGTCCTATTAACATAACTGTAATTCCTAATTTCTAAGGATTTTTCAGTTTAAATTTACCTAGATAGTACATTCAAGTTTAATAACGTACTGAGAGACTTACCAAATAGTTAAACACAAATACTTTAGTCAGAGAGGAACTATTTAAGCTTATGACTCAAAATATGATCTCAGACAAAGCCTCTCTGGATTAGCAAAACATCTAGCGCATTCCATGTTGTATCACTGCCGACCACAGTTAAGTTGTATCTATGAGTACTGATTGCTTGCTTCTGTTTGTAGATTCTAATAGCCATCGACATACTGATTTTTCATTTTTACCCTAAATGCTGATTTTTCTACTCTGCCATGTTTAAGAGTGTCATTTTTCTATCCTTTCACTGTCAGCTCTGTGTTAGGAGCCTTTGTTTCTTCAGAGTTGATGCAGCATGTACTAAGAAAAGATTTTATTTTTTTCTCCTCCTAGTGTAGTTATTTTCCCTGAACAACATAAGCCAAGCTGCCAAAAAAGCACTTGTTAACATAGCGACATCCACAGTGGGGGTTTACTGACGTCAGTGTCTTTGGAAAGATGGCTTTTTTTTTTCAAATGCCTCTGCCTGGCTTTGTTAAATCACAGTCCTCACATCCATCTGAAACTTAATTACATGCCTCTTTCCCCCCCACACACACACCACCCTTTCAGAATTATTTACTTATATAAAAAAGCAGAAAACAGTACTTTTCCTGTATTACTGTTCCATATATATTATTCCTTGTTGGTTGTACAAATCTGTAAATTGCTTTCCGTATATACTGAAAGACGTGTGCTCAGTGCTCATTTTCTTCATGTACTCTCTCTTCCATCCTCAAAATACCCTGCAAGTTTTGTTGAGTATATCTTTGAGAGCTAGATATAAATATAGAGCCAAATATAGATATGGATTTATGTTTCTTACATTTATCTGATTGTTTCTGATAATTCTTCCCCATTTGGATCCTTTGCTGTGGAAAGAGATCTCTTGCTCACACTGAGCTGACTGCTTTGATGCACAAAGTTAAAGGCGAGCCCAGAAGTCTATATGGATGTCAGTCATCGAGCCATTGCAAAGAATGCCAAATGTGAATGCTTGGATCTGATGGGTATAATCATAGTAACAAGTGATACAGCATAGCAATCACATGGAAAAATAACTCTGATTTCAAGGTTTGTTGTTTTTAATTAAGACAGGTAGTGGAAATTAGTGTGATAGTGTAGATCGAAGACTATGCCAAGTCTTGACTTTGCTGCACATCTGATGAATGTCCTTAGAGATGCCACTCTCCCTCTGCACCACCTTTTTTCCATCTGTATGGCAAACACTTCTCTGATGGAAAGCACCTTGAGAAAGATTAATTAAAAGTGCTGAATGAGGATGTAGGTGGTACTAAAGCATGTTGCATATCTTAATTGCCCATGTTTAGGATTATGTGCAAGAAAATCCTCACATTTATTTGTGTACTCTTAAGTGCTGTCTGAAAACTGAAATTTTAAAACCCTTTTGTGATTTGCTAGTTGTGGCAAATGATTTTTTTGTTCATTTTCCTTTTTGGGGAGTTCCTTTAGTTTGTTGTAGAACACTGGGTAGTACAGTTTTGAGGTGGGAGAAAGGATGATCCAATTTTTTTCCTTAACCTGAAGAAGGAACCTAGGCGCAAAAATGCTTGCCCTTGGGAACAGTTTAAAATCTTGGCGGAAGAAATCAAAAAGAAAACAACTCATTTATAAATTGCAGTAGGAAGTTAGCGTAGCATTTCTTTGCTGGTACTTGGAAATTAGAGAAAAGGTGATGTAGGCATAGGAGTTCCACCACATGTATCCTCCCCCACAAAAGTCTACATAAAAACTGGTTCTACACAGACATTTTTTCTCTAAAAGTTATGGTTGTCAGAAATATTATCCTCTTCTTTCTGTTGGCAGAATCAGTTGTATATATCTAACCACTGCGTTTAATAGTGATGAGAGAAAAACACTGTGTTTAAAAATATTGCTGACACATAGAGCCAAAGAGATGTTTGTGTTAGATCATTTTCATTTGCAATGTGCTTGGCTTGTGCGTACGCTTTCACATCAGTAGTTCAGGAGTAATCAGTGAAAGAAGAGGACTATTTTGAGCTACTTGTATTAAAAGAGTGAATCTTGGAGGACTTGTTATAACATTATGAAGTGTCAAGCAGAGATTGGGATCGTCACAACTGTGTCAGGAAGAGGTACGGGGTAAAAAATCACACCCGTTGTTGACATGCAGAAGTGCACGAGCGTTTCACTCTGACCCACATCCAGTGTGCAGAGGACATTGATGTTTTTGCAGTTTCTGACTGATACATCTAAAATTATGTACTTGTTGAGGCAGGACTCCCTATTGGGGAATTCCCCATTGGGAATTCATGGCTTAAATAATCTCTTGGCCGTTTAAGCCTCTTGTATAAGACAAGGTAACCAAAAACATAGCTCTGTATGTAATTAGTCTACTTGTAATTAGAGTGTTTTTCAGAGCAGCAGTCATACTTGTGCTCTTGGTCAGTTGTGTATGTGATGATCTTTTTACACACAGATTAGTCGCTTGAGCTGGGTACTTTTAAAGATGAATAATGCATTTGCAAAAAGATGCAAAACAGCGTGAAAGGTTTACTTGACATCATCTTAGAATAAAGTTTTATTCTTGGTTTGGGTTTATACAGTTTTGTAACCTTATCTCTTCCTCTTCTTTCCTTTCATACCAAAAAATGTTGATAAAAACATTTTAGGGTTTTGGGTGGATCTTCTCCCACTAAACTACAAAAAAAAAAAAAAAAAAAAAAAGGTCACTATCTGAGCTGGATGTTCGGTTTGATGTCCCACTATGGAAAAAGTAGCTTCCTGACATTTTTTAAATTTTGAAAAGGTAGCTAATACTACTGCATACATTGAGTACTTGTGTAAGTACTGGCAAACAGTAAGTGTTCTAAAAATACCATTATTTTTGTGGTACAGTTCCCTAAGTCAGCAGCTATATTCCCCCTTAAAATTGGGGAAGCCACAGTTATTTTTCAAAAACTGTATGCCAGCCAAAGTGATAACATAGCAGAGAAACCTAACTGATGCCAGTGACCATGAAAACTTGTTTGCTTCCTGTTAAGGGACTTATTATATGTTAAATTCAGCGGTGTCGTGAATCACAAGCTGGTCAGCAATGTAATCTGCTACTATATTTAAAGGTGGCTTTAAAAATCATCTGAATTTCAGGCTGGTTACATCTGGAAGCTGTAGCTCTTGGAGAGCCACTGAATAGTTGTACTGTGTGAATGTCTAGCCATCCAGGAACTGAATATACAGTTTTTCAGACTCTGCATTTATTTCCTCTTGTGCACGTTTTTTCTAGGTGTTTAACTGGAAGTTAGCTTAAAAAATATGCCCCACTGTAAATACTTTTAAAATAGCGAAGAAGTAGAGAATTGAAGAAAAAACACAAAAGCTTTCCAACTAAAAAAACCACAAAACCAACCAACTAAAAAAAAACGCAAAACCAACCAACTAAAAAAATCCCGACTCCCCCCAAACAAAACCACCACCACCAGCCCCAAAACAAAACAAAATAAAACCAAAACAACAAACAACAAAACAGTAACAACAGAAAAAACAACCTATCCTTATGATTGTGAAAATGCATCCTGGATTTTTCTCTAGAAGACAAAATTTTGGTGTAAAATATCTGGACAGGGATTCACTGCAATAACCCCTATAAACACCAGTGTATATACACTTTTCATTTTCTCTTACTATTATTGTTAAATGTTGTGTTGTTATTATAGCTTATCATATATTCCTTTCCAGAGTAGAGAAGTTAACCAATGAAAATACACCATCACGAGAGGCAAATAGTATTTCAAACCATCGGGTGCTAATTAAGCCAGAGGCACAAAATAATCAGAAAAACAAAGAAGCGACCAAAAATGAGGAGAAGAAAGCTCTCGAAGCTGAAAAATACGGATTCCAGAAAGTCGGGCAAGATAAACCATTAACGAAAATTAATAGTGTAAAGCAAAATCCATTGGGATCTGAATACAGGACTTTACCCATAAGCACAATTCAGGCTGGGCACTTCAGACCAGCTCATTTAAATGGGTCTGAGAATAAAGCTGTCGGGGTTGTCCTGGCAGACGCTGGAGATGGAGGTCAGCACAACGCGTTTCAGTCGCATATGGAGTCTGAACGAGTTATGCAGAGAACTAATTCAATGCTGCAGTTGGAACAATGGATTAAAATACAAAGAGGAAAAGGCCAAGAAGAGGAAACAAGAGGGTAAGTACTATGTAATCATTTTTTTTTTTTTTTTGCTAGCAAATAATACTTAGACTTGTATCCTGGTTAGATTATTTAGGTTTTCATGTATATTACATAAATACATAATTCATGGCTACCTTTAAAAAGTGCCTGGATGACTGCTCAGAACAGATTTTTTAAGAGTTTCTCTATTAACATTTCAGTGATTATTAATAAATTAAGCTTTATTAATAATGAATAAAAATGGACAGAAACCCTTTTTGGGTGTTAGAAATTTTGCTAACTTAGCAGGTAGAAGGCATCCTCAATCATAACAATCCTCTTAAAATCTGATCTTGAAATTGCCCTGTCTTCTCCATTTTTGTTCACAAATTCTTGTAATAATATTTTCTTTAAAATTCTTCTGAACTATTCTAGGGAGCTTTTAAGCTTTATACAAGCTTTAAATGAAAAGAGGAGAAGTTTTACCTAAGAGTAAGTCATAGAAATGTAACTAACTTGATGCTAAAAGCTTCTCCTCTCATGAAATTAAACACCTCCCGGTTCTAATATTGAGTTCCAGTGCTTATTCATGAAGCTTTAAAATTATATGTGGATGATTGACAATATTAGATCTTGTGCCGACAGCAATTTCTCTGTCTGGCAGAAGTGTAGGGACGTTGCTTCCAGGCTGGCTTACAGACAAGCAGCTCTAGCAGTAAAATATAAAAGTTTTTAATATTACATTAGATAGGAAGCATGGAGATGCTATAACAGCAGATATTTTGAAGAGTTGGAAAATAGGGACTTCACAGATAGACAGACAGCAGAGCTTAAGATAAGTTCAGAAAATGTATTTTCTGCAAATTTCACAACATGGGAGTTGAGGACTTCCCGATTTTTGCAAAAACGTGAAAAATTTACATTAGTTTGAGGTGCATTTGCCAAAATTGGTCAAATGTTTCCTCATTGCCTTTAGTCCTTCATTAAATATAAATAGGAATTGTTAACGTGTTGTTTTGTGAAATACTCTGCATAAGTAGTTTGATCAAGTTTGAACTTGCAATACAGTGACTTGCACACTGACATTTATTATGCATGCTTGCGTAATGAGAACTGTGAAATCTCAATGCAATTGGTTTTTGGGGGTTTTTTTAACTGGGCTTTAAAACTTGCAGTCAAACAGTAGAAATTTGAATAGCTGTACCATTTTTCAGTTGAGAAAAAGTATAACAACCCTAGAACAGATTTCATTGTGGAAAACAGGTAGAGGGAAGTACTGGTAACAATATTCTGCTATTTAACAATATGTTATTCTTGACTATAGAGAACACTTGTTGCCCAAATTAAGGGTGGCATTGATAGCGCAAAGGGTATGCTTTCAAATGCAGTGCTATATAAAAGTAGCAAACTGAAAAAGATTTTGCTTTGGGCTGTCTTTTGCTTTGTGTGGAAGCGGCCTTTAATAATGATCCACATTTGCAATGTATAGTGATGGTTTTAGAATGTAGTTTCATTTAAATTTTAAATTTTGGTTTTATTTGAATTGCCAGTTTCTGGCTGGAGACGGGAATTTAAGTAGAATTGAAGTTGGTGAATGAGAGTGGAAAGCAGCTCAAGTTTATGTTAAAACTTAAGCTTGGGGTAAGAGGCTAACAAGGCTGTTTGGAGTAAGGCCTGTTCAAATCATAATTTGAATTTTTTAGAAAAGTAGTCTTCACTTAGTAGGGAAAAGTTGCTGACTTTGGCTGACAAAGATGCTTTCCACTGCATCTGTCTCTCTAATGTGTTAGAGAAACCATGGAGGACCAAACTGAATATCTCTGGTGTGTCGGACTGAAGAAAAATTAGGACTTGAAGAATATTAAAAGGTTAACAACTTCAATTAAATAACTCTATATAAAATAGGAGCTGTTAGCTGCCCTCAATATGGAATGAAAAGGGTTCACTGTAAAACTACTATATTTTAGAGGAACAAATTGATCCCTTAGTTGTTTTATTGCCTGAGAAATTAATGAGAATGATGGTCATGTAATTTTTAAGTCTTGAAGCTGTTATCTGCCAATTCCATGGAACTAGACATCTAGTTTTGCAAGAGCCACGTGAATAAGGACAGCTGATGCCTTGAGTAAGACAAAACTTCTTAAAACCAAAAGTGAATGGTTTCTAAATAAAAACACTCCCCTCCAGTATTATTTTATTGAATTAATTTTGCGCAAGTCAGTGATGAATAAAAGTGTCACTGGAAGTGGTTCACTTAGGTGAATTCATTTTTTCAAATATGTAAAAATACAGAAGAGTTAGAATCATAGAATCTGTTGGGCTGGAAGGGACCTTTAAAGATCATCTAGCCCAAGACTCCTGCAGTGAGCAGGAACATCTTTATGGAGATCAGATTGCTGAGAGCCCCATCAAGCCTGACCTTGAATATCTCCAGTGATGGGACCTCCACCACCTCTCTGGGCAACCTGTTCCACTGTTTCACCACCCTCATAGTAAACAACTTCTTCCTAATGCCTAAGCTCCATCTACCCTGCTTTAGTTTAAGATCATTGCCCCTCATCCTACATCACTACACTCCCTGGTAAAGAGTCCCTCCTTTTCTTTCCTGTAGCCCCCTTCAGGTACTGGCAGGCTGCTGTAAGGTCTCGCCGGAGCCTTCCCTTCTCCAGGCTGAACGACCCCAAGTCTCTCAGCCCGTACTCATAGGAGAGGTGCTCCAGCCCTTTATCATTTTTGTGGCCCTTCTTTGGACTCGCTCCACCAGATTGCATAGTATTAAGTGAGGTTTTTCATATGGCTACTAATACTTTTTGTTGCAACTGTAAATGCTGTACAGCACCATGTTTCTGTCTTCACCTTGCCACCCTTTGATTCTCATATGGAAGTTCTGTATTCTGGGACAGCTGGTATTTAGGGTGAAGGACTATTATGATATTTCAGTCTGAGAGTTTTCATAACATTGCAGAATTGAGCCCCTAAAGGTTTAGGACAGCAAAGGTGCTTTCCCAGATAGTCCAACTTGAACACCAGAACCAGTGTTGCCACCCAGCAATAATCCTAGAGACAACTTCTAGAGGTGTCTATAAACTCCTGTGGAAGCCTTTTTTTCTTATGGGTGCATTTCTGGGGAGCTATTTGTGATGACAATTGCGGGAATATTTTGCAACTTGCGTGACTGCTTGTCTGGCTGCAGCAGCCTCCCCTCACGTGCAAGGCAGCTGTGAGCTGCAGCACTGTCTAGAATTGGTCTTGTGGTTCTACTAGAATGGTGGATCTATTTTCATTTTATCAAAGGGTGTAAAACAAGGCTTAATATTGAGGCTGTTGGGCTTTTTACAGCTTTCATGGTTTATCAGTAGAAGAATGGATGCATTTCTTAAATTTTCTAGAATGTAAGTAATTGCATGCAGACTTCAAATTGCCATCTTTACATAGGAAGAACTTCAGACAGCTTTTCTTAAAGTTATCTGGGATATTTAGAGGAGCCAACAGGCTTACACTGCCCATTTGATTAATAAAATGGGAGAGGAGCGTCTGTGAGTGTAGTTTATCAAACTAATGGATATCTTCATGAAAATATGCGATACCTGTTTGTGAATACCTAAAATAATGGTTTTTGGAAGCTAAAAAGCAAACCTAAAAGTATCTTGGTTGCTTGTTTTTTAAAATGGAGATAAGGAGAAGCTCTTATCATTAATGGTATGTTACATGAAGAAATTTAGAGATATTTATTTAAAGTTATTTGGGCAAGTTTTGCAGAAAAAAGAATAGGATATAGAAGGTACTTCTCTTTTATATATATTTTTTGTGAGAATGGGGAGCTACCCAGTGCACAAAGTGGGGATAATGCTTCATTATTTCTTGAGAAACTTCAGAAACCGTAGCATATTTTATATGTAAAGCTCTTTATAGTGGTTTTCATCTCCAAAACATTACAGGTGATTATAAATACTCTGCTTATTAATTTCACTGAAAAGTGGATTTTACCATCGTCAACTTCCTTGACAGTTATTCCATAAGGATCTAACATGCATAATACTGGTTTACCTTACCGTTTGCCCTGTGTCATTGCTTTCGTATTTTCGTGGCACTGAAGTCTTTCAAAACCATCTTCAGGTTCTAGTGCCTGGTGGTGGCGGGGATTTTAGTTTGCATTAGTAGGTAGGTAGGTAGGTGTAGGTAGAAGCTGCTGCCCTCTGATGGCTGAGTCATGTCCAATTTGAGAGGAGTTTTATTGTCTCTGGACAAGCACCTAGCTTAGATGGGATCAGTAGCAAAAGGCTTTCAGAGGTGCTCATCTGAATTTTAGATAAGAGTTTTATGAATCAATATTTATGACCTAGATTTTGTCCTCTGAAAAAAAACCAAGAAATGCTTTGTCATACTTAGGCATGCATCGATACTCGACGTGGAAAATAACTAATGCTGAAAGTCACTAAATGTAGCATTCCAGAATTTTAATGTGGCAACAAATTAAAGAATAAGCCTTTGAATTCCTGTCCAAGGTGAAAAGTAATACAGTATTATTATCAGACAGAAATATTTTGCTGTTTCTTTCGCTTGAATAGCAAATGGGGAGTTGCTTGTCCTTCACAATTGCAAAATATAATCTCATTAGACAATTACTGTTATTTTTCCTTGATCTGCTGTTAAAAGGATTTTTTTTTTTTTAATGTCCATAGTAACTGCTCAAAATTTGCTTAGGGAAACACCAGGAGATTTTTTTTCACTTTTGAAAAAGAACATTTAAAACGGGGAAAAAAACAGGAAACTTCAAGGCTTTCGAAAATTTGACCTATCCAGCATAGGAACAAGTTACAAGATTAAATCTCAACTTGAAACTACTAGGTGTTAAACTGGTAAAAAGATGAAACGTGGATTATATAATCAAGCATCTAATCAGAGAGAGGATCCAATTTCAGCTGCTACAGTGCATTCAATCAGGATAGTTGATTCTTTAATTGTCATCTTGATTTGCTTGCTTGTTTCTAAAATTACAATTGCAGTATTTTAAACTTTAAAAAAAAAGGTAAGAGTTAGCTAGGTAAACCAAACCAATACTGAAAAACTTTACATTACATTAATATTAATGCTGTCCACTAATAGAAAGAAAATTCCTCTTTCAGCATAATCTCCTACCAGACGTTACCAAGAAACATGCCGAGCCATCGACCACAGGTTTTACCCCGGTACCCAGAAGGCTACAGGACGCTGCCCAGAAACAGCAAAGTGCGGCCGGAGAGCCTCTGCAGTGTGGCACCCTCAGCTTACGACAGAGCCATAGGACCGGTCACCACCGAAGAAAAACGGAGGTCGATGCGCGACGACACGATGTGGCAGCTCTACGAGTGGCAGCAACGTCAGTTTTACAATAAGCAAACAACTCTTACTAGACACGGTACTTTAAGTAGCCCAAAAACTATGATTAATATTTCTGATCAGGCAATGCATTCGATTCCCACCTCACCTTCTCATGGTTCTATCGCTGGTTTCCAAGGATATTCCCCACAACGGACCTACAGATCAGAAGTGTCTTCACCAGTCCAAAGGGGAGATGTGACTATTGATCGCAGACACAGGACGCATCATACCAAGGTAAAAATACTTATTTTAATACTTTGAAATCTTATTTACAAGGATTTTTAGTAGGAAGTGTACGGTTACCGCAGAACTCATGTTGCACTGTAGTGTATTTCATAATAATGAAGATTAAGTTACATGATTGTTTTCACGGAGAAAGGTTTGATTTTAGAAAGCATTTAAAAATCTAAAGGTGGTAAAAAGATAATTTTCTAATACACTAGGTGAAAACATGTTGTCCTAATATTACTATCCATGATACTGTTTCACTAAAGGAAAGCAAAGGAGTCGATAGGCAAATTATTCGGAATAGTTTGTTGTATGTACTGAAATCTGTCTTCTTTCCAGCTTTTTTAGCTGGAACTGAAAATGCCAGATTCCTTTCCAGGTGCTGTTTTCTGTTCTTTAGCCACCAGTTTGGCTGCCTTGAGTTCCAGCAGAAAACTGGATGTAGCCATTTCTTTTGATGCCTTTGAGTTGTTAAGGTGTTTGCCGACAGTCAGGGTCTATTTGCACACAACGTTAGCACTTGACTAGTGTGTGACTTTGCTGGTCTTCATCGACAAGAGGGAGATGTACGAAGAATTGTAAACCTGGGGGCCCTATGTGGCTCTGCTATATCCATCACGCTTGTGTTATGCACTTTTTTTAATAGATTGGAGATAATTACATAAAAATTATTTTCAGTTTTTTTGTATAAAATGCTCCCAAACTTTTTTTCCCAAATCTTTATCTCAGGTTTATGTTTCTTGATGCAGGAAGAGAGTCTTTAACTATATCCTAAAGCAGTTTAAACAAATTGCATCTCATTACTAAGTTTTGCTTTTGGAAGTTTTTAGGTTTCTATCAACAAAGGAGTCATTTTGTTTTGACACTCTTTATGTCCCAACTGCACTGGAAATTTAGTAATCAGTGCTTCTCACACGTCTGAGAAACACCAGCAAGGTCAGTGCTGCAGAGCATATACTTGTTCTCTCAGCCATGTTTTGCTTTCTGGTATTTTTTTTCCCTTTATGAAACACTTTATGCTAGTATTCAGTTTCATATTTAGTATCCTTGTTTCCCTTTGGTTTTTGTACGATTATTAAGTTTGCCTTTTTGTTAGTTACACAGCTAGCTTTTGCCATTAACTTAAGAACAAAGACTGCCTATTTGAAGTCAGGGTAGATTCCAGGTTTAAACCACATCTATAGAGAGATCCTAGTTTTTTAACTAGGTTTCAATGAGAGTGAAAAACTAAAAAGTGTTTTGTATATGGGCTATCAGTAGGGCAACAACTATGAGACAGGTCTGGTAATTAAATGTATGATGAAAGCTGGGGTATTCCCGAAATTCAGAGGTAGCCTACTTGGGTGTCCTAGATAGTAGACCAGCAGAGAGGATCACTGGCCAAAGCTGGCACAAATCACAGAAAATTTGTTGTGAGTATGTAGTTGACTTTTTGTTTTAGCATTTAATAGTTTTTGAGTCTTTAGATAACCATGGATCATACTGTGCTATTTTTTTTCTGTACAGCACGTCTTTGTGCCCGACAGAAGGTCAGTGCCAGCAGGTTTGAGTTTACAGCCTGTTACTCCTCAGAGCCTCCAAGGCAAAACAGTGAGTTGCATTTTTATTTGGTACATCAGGGGTTTTTTAAGAATTATCCTTTAAGTATGAGAAGGCCACACTGAAATTTTATTCTGTTTAAAGCTTACCTTTATGTAAATTATCAGGGATTTTTAAAGCAAATAAAGAAGTACTCTGTGGTTCCACTGAGTTCTGAGAATATTGTGTAGCCATTGAGTCCAGATTGTCTTTCAGAAATGCAGATATTAATCTTTTTTTTAATAATTTTTGATACATTACAGAAGTTCCTGGAAGAGGGTAGAATACATCAAAGAACATGTATTTCTCCATTAATTATTTAGAAAATCTTAGCAGTAAAGTTTGCCTCTTTGGGAAATCTTAAGGATACTAAAATTGCATTTGGTAAAATTGTGTCCTTTCTGACACTTCCCATTTTACTGTCATAGAGCTAAAATTCTCCTTGAAATTATTTCATCAAAGTAACACTGGTGAATACTGCCCACCTTCCTTTTTGAAACGTGATGCTTGACCAAAAGTTACAAGATTGTCCTAAATTTATATTATCTCCTTACCAGTTCTTGTCTCCTTTCCACAATCTTTCTCTACCCATCTGAAATTGCTTGTTTAAGAGAACTGTGAGTTAAGAACACAGATTTTTGAATCATACTGTGGGCAACAGCTCTCCCCAGTCAATCCTTCCACTACCTTGAGCCCTGTTTCTTGCACTTCCCAGCACGAGGCCCCGGCACCTTCAGCCACTTCTGGCCTTTGGCAGCCGGTGCCTGATTCTCCGCACCTCGTCTTCCACAGACATTTCTTTGGGTTCTCGGCCCCGTCAGCTCTCCTGGGCTCTGCTGCTGGAGTTGGGCTGAGGAGCAGGCTAGGGGGCAAGGAGGTCCAAGCTTCTGCCTGTTGAAACCAGAAGTCCTGCCCACAGCGCAAGCCTTGCAGGGGCTGGAGAGGGAAAACTTGTAGATAGCTCTTCCTACAAAATTTTGTGTCGTTGCAAGAGACCCAAGAGCTGTATCTAAAGCACAGTACTTACAGTGATGTAAAAAGTGTTTGCAGCACAATGGGTATTTGGAGAGGAGTAGGAATACTGTTTGATGGGCTCCTCTGTGGAAAAAAAAATAAAATTGCTTGCACACATTGGATTTAAGTACCAATAAATAGTTTATTCCTAAGGCACTGAAATCAGGCTTTTGCAAAACATATCAAGAAGAATTTTGGTCTTGAAAAAATTATTATCTGTTTCTTTTGCCTGAAGATGCTCCCTTCAATTTTCTTATTTCCAAAAATAAGTTTTCTTGTGCTTTCAACTGATGCTGATTTTCAGATGGATGTCACTGATTTTTGGAGAGAACTTGAAAATGTCTTGTACAGCAGTCTGGATTCTTATACTTACTCTCTGAAATTAAGTATTTTAAATCTGGATATTGAGAGTGCTGTAAGAAGAAGATTGGCCATTAGACAATTTGGCTTCGCTGTTGGTTCTCCCTCAAAGCGAATGGTTTTGACAACTGAAGCGATGTGGAAATCCCTTGCTCCCTCTTGTGGGCTGTTTTGGTGCGAGCTCACAACGCTGCCAGTGCCACTCTTGTTCTCAGGGACTTTTCTTTCTTATTCTAAGAACTGGTATTCGTTTTTGAGTCATTTAATATGTGGTTCTCTGGAGCTTTTTGCTTTACTTCTTTGCTTTGGGGAAATTCTGTAACTATGGAAGAGAGCAAGCGGGGTTTTAGGAGGTTTTGCGTTTGTGGTATTTTTCTTTAACTCACAGAACTTGTGAGAAAATCAAAATGCTGGATGACTGTTTAACCTCTTGTAAGGTTGAATTCTGGAGAAGTGTAAGAAACAGAACCAAACAGGAACATAACAAAAATACTTGTGATGTTAAGTGTTTTGTTTTCTTTGAAGTATTGCTAAGAAGTGGTTCCCAGGAGTGGTTCAGATAGAGTTTGCCAAACTGACCTAAACTGATCTATGTGGAATTACCTGACAAATACCCTTTTGAATGTGACTTTATTTTCTTCATATATATAATCTTGGGGTTTACATGCAGTTTTTCATCCCTTCCTAAGGCTGTATTGTACAACTTAGTCAGAAAAGTAAAGCAGTAAGTTAACTGGTAGCCTCAAACCTGTGGAAAGTGAGATAAAAAATTGGTTGTCATGCTTGTGCAGTTTTATATTTTGAAAGCTGATTGTTTCTCATGCAGTTCATTAACCGTGGGGGTTTTTGTTGTTCTTACTCTTAATTTTGACCTATACATTTGAAGAATTATTTTAGAAAATAAATTTTCATGAGGGCTTCTTTTTATTCCTTTATCAAGCTCAAATGGCTGGAATCATTTCCCCCTTCCCTTAAGTCAGTATCATCAATTTGATATGCATGACAGAAAAAGTTTTGAGGGCTGAACAGGCTTTCTCCTGCAGAATCCTCACTGATTTTTGTCCTTTGCGAAGGACGTTCCACTCTTAAGGCATTTGCAGTATCAATTGTTTTGAGTAGTGTGAAGTTAACCCTTCATTATATATTTGGGGGAAAATTATGTATCTTTTGCTGTATCATTATAGAAGTTTTTTTGTAAGAAAGATGCTAAGAAGCCTTATTTTAATTCAATGTTGTTCAGGATACCAACTAACCTTTTTTCTACTCTTTGGCTTCTCACACTGCACTCCTTCAGCCAGAGGAGCTCACGCTGCTGCTAATAAAGCTGAGACGGCAGCAAGCTGAACTGAGTAGTATCCGGGAACACACACTAGCACAGCTCATGCAACTAAAACTTGAGGCCAGCAGCCCAAAGGTCAGCTATAAAGCAATGTGTGTCATGTACCATTATCACTAACTTGTAGTCACTCATTAATCAAAGTTTGCATTGTACCATCAGTGCAGAATTTTGACTGCTGCGGGTGTAGGATAGAGTAACATTGGTTCTTTGTGTATGTGATGTTCTGCTATTAACCCTTTGAGGCTTTTCTCCTAGCTTTTTGATACTAGCTGAGTTAAAATTACATAGGAATATTTTAAAATATATTATCGTTAAGTTTAAAGCTAAAGGTGTTTATCCTATTGTTCTTGTTACCAAAATTAATAGTGGTAGATGATGAGATTAATTTGTTTATGCTGCCTCATCTTATTTGCAATGTCTATACGAAAATCAGGATGCATTTAAATCACAGGTTTATCAAAGGGTTTATAGTTGTCTGTGTAGTAGACGCTTACATGAGCTTAATGTATTTTAGACGTAAAACCAAAATCCTAATGTAGTAGTTCGTAGTCTGATCGTGGCAAGCTTTCATCACTTCTGTTTCGAGATCAAAACTTGATAATGGTTCACCAAAAAAACCCAGATAAAAGCAGCATTTTATTTCTATGTAAAGCAGAGAGATCACTGCCTAGTTTACATCTTTTAAAGCTCTTTTCATGCATTCTGCACCTTCTGTCCCTTTCCTTTTTCCCTCTGACTGCTGCCTGCTAGAATGAGATTCTTTCACATCACCTTCAAAGGAATGCCATATATTTGGATCATCAGGTGGGATTTGAAATTTTCTTGTGTGTTTACATTTCTTGATGCTTTTTGCTTGCTCCTATCATGCTGGAAATATTTGGGGAGAAGGATTTGCACTGTTTTTTATGAAGCTGGATATTTACATGTGCTCTTTTTAAGTAGCACAGAATATGTTAATCAATTACAAATTTGACACGTAATGGAAAAAGAAAACACTTTAAAATTCATCAGAATACAGTAGCCACTCACAAATTAATTTTTCTATTCTTCATTTCCTTCTTATAATAACACTAACTAGCATTTTATCATCTTTAACCAAGGTTGTATTATATTTCCAAGCTCATATGACACACATGCAATTTACAGAAGATGAGTCCTTCTGATAATTTCAGTTTTCCAAAGTAAGAAGAATTAGATGTTTCTACAGGATATTAAATGAAAGGGAGGTCAAAGGTGAAAAAAAGGTTTTAAGAAAACCAGTGTGGCTCATTACTTTTTTTGCTTTTATTCATTTATTTCTTAAGGATTTATGTAAGAATATGATTTTACTTCTTTACAACTTCTGATAACTTATGGACTGAGGCTACAATTCTGTCTTCACTAACATAATTGATTGCCATGTGAAGAACTGTGATATCACATACCTCTTTTTATAGCTTTGTTTCATGAACAAATGGGATTTCTGTGCAAGCTGTGTGTGAGAAGTCTTTAAATGGGAAATTTTTGCTAGCACTTGTAAAAAGTAGTGATAAGTGCTTAGGACAAATGCAAATAACTAGATGTCCGTTAGTTAAAAATGTAAATCGCTAGAGCTTTTTCTTTTTTCTAATATTCTTTCTTCAAATGAAGTATTTCAGCCTTACACTCAAAACCAGCTGCTCTTACAGCTTTTATGTCCTACATGTTCCTGTGAGTTACTAAAACCCACACATGTGCACAGAGACATACACGTGGGCTTGGTTCACCCAGTGACTTTATTTTCCTGTTACCTCTTGGAAACAAGGTGTGAATTGGGACGCATTCAGTGAGCAGGCAATGCGTTTCTCAACATCTCTATCTTAAGGGGCTGCAGGAGGTACAAAACAGTAGGGAAAAATTACTTGCTAAAAAGTAGGCCAAAATATTTCATTCAACTCAAATATTTCCAGTTTATAATGTTTTGGAATAAGGGCATAACTCTGTCTTCAACACTGTAATTCATTGCCAAGAAGGGACAACTGTCCATGTGAAGTGTAAAACTACGTACCATCCTGTTGCTTAAGTAGCCAGGTTTGTCAGTATAATAGGCAGGATTTAACGGAAATAATTGGCTATGTATAACATGCAAAGTGGTAAAACGTATTTTCATTTTGCTTGCATCAGATAAAATTTAAAAATGTAATGGGATGGGATGTGATAAACATTAACTTGGGGAAGCATCTGCATCTTATAAATGTGTCATAATTGCCCCTACCAGAGATGCAAGAAATTACTGCACTTCTTACAGTAAGAAATTAAGTCTAAAATATATTACCTTAATTACAAAATTATGGAAGAGCAGATTGGAATACTAGTCTCAGTTTCTGATCAGTTTGGGGGTTTTTTTTCCACATATTTTAATATAATACTGCCACCTATCTGTATGAAATAAATCCCCCTTAGAGTCTTCTGGCTTTGAGTACCACTGCTTCTAGGGATGGTATCTCATTTCTATCTTTTTGTTACTTTGTCCATTATTAGTTTTTTCTTTATGTTGGGAAGAAAAAAATCAAAGTTTGTTCTACTCTAATTGAGGCCTTTCCTCCTTGTTATCCCACTCTGTAACCAACATGCATAATCACTTACCCCCTTTGAATTTTAAATGACCACTGTCCTTAAATTGGGTGTTTCCACTTGTATTTAATCTCTGAAAACAGTGTCAAAACCTGCTTTGCCTAGAGCCTGTGGCAGAACTTCAGTCCTCTTGTCTTCAGCACTCACCTTCTTGGTCACACAGGATTTGCTACTGTACATAGCACATTAATTAGCAAATTTGTACTGAGATTGCACAAGTGAATTTTCAGGCAGACT